TGATTGTCATTATCATCCATCATCATCAACATCATCATCATCATCATCATCATCCTTTAGGGACAACAGAAAACCCAGTTTCTACATATACATCTCTGTGGTCACACAGCTACATACTAATGTTCCTCTCGGTATAGATGCCAGTGCCAGTAGCAGCGACAGAGAATATGTTCAGAGAAAAGCAACACAATTAACTCTGACTGTTACTTGGCTCATTGTTCAGTATTCATCTTAAAAACAATAGCGTTTTTCAGTAGCCAAAGATTATGGAAAATGCTGACAACTGGCAAAACTGTGGCTGGACCTACAGCAATCGTGCCATACTTAGTAGCATTGCCCCTTGAATATTTTTTGCCGTGCTTGCATAGGAACATCTGTGTTTACATCAGGGAATGTGAAATACAGGCACAAAAGAGAAATGACTAAATAGCATTAAAGAGCCAGAATCACAGTTCGATGTTGCATCTAATAGCAAAAAGGGGCCAACACACATGACTAAGAGTGACAAAATGGGTAATTATGGTGGAATAAAAATAAAATCCAACTTTAAGTATAAAGAAATACCATTGTCTATTAGCAGTGCATTTATATGCCTGCTGTGTCCCCTTTTCTCGACCTTCAAACTTATGTGCTTATTTAGGAAAATGAGGAGGAAGATGGACATCCTGAGATGAAAGGTGATAGAGGGTCATTCCTATTTTAGCCTGTGGCTGCCCCTGAAATTCCTCAATTCAAAGGCATTGGGATATACAATAGAGACCCCTACTGAGAGGAATTCTGATGATCTGCATGATCATTTGCTACAGTTTTCATTTTTCTGATAGTGTAACAATTGCTTTAACCCTTTAACTCCTTCACAAAACATAAAGTATCTTATACCTATAGCAGAAGCAAATCAGATGCAAATTTTATTTAGCAAACACTTTGAGAAAAGCATTTCTCCCTTCATGAATAGCTTTAGAGAATTTACAGCATTAAGTCTATATTTTTCTAATGTTAAGTTAAGTAAACCTTTTTTATACATGCAGTCTTAAAGGAAAAAGTAGATTGACTTGTCAATATAAACTGTAACGTTTTACATGATGTTAGAGAACAATAAGCACGTTTTTATTTTTGACTTTATTTATGTATTTATTTATTGGTGCCAGGGACTCACTCTGTCACTCAGGCTGGAATGCAGAGGTGTTATCATAGCTCACTGCAACCTCCAACTCCAGGACTCAAGCAATCCCCCCAACACAGCCTCCAGAGTAGACTGGATTATAGGTGTACCACAATGCCTGGCTAATTTATTTTACTATTTTAGAGAGACAGGGTCTCAGTATGTTGTCCAGACTGGTCTCAAACTCCTGGCTTCAAGGGATCCTCCAACTTCAGCCCCTAAAGGGCTGGGATTATAGGTGTAAGCTACTGACCCTGGCCAGATTAAAAAAAAAAATTAAATAAACAACTAGCAGGAAGATAAAAAATGACTCTGAAGTAATAGTAGAAAGATTTGATTAATTTTGGTCATCTGATTTTTTGCAGTATCTATCACTGTTTTCCTTGAGGATATTATGCCGTCTCTTAATAGTCATGCAAAATTAATGGTACCAAGTATAGTTTACCTGGGAATGTAAAGAAGGAGTGAATATTATTTACTCTTTCAGGTGTTGGGTCACAGATAATGATACCCAAACTGAAAGTCCCAGAAGTAGACTCAGAAGCAAAATTTCTCTCTGACCTTCTTCTGCCCTCCTCTCTCTTGCTCCTCATTGTTTCCAAAGGCAAGACTTAGAAACTGGAATTCTTTGCCAAGGCAAGTCATAGAATACACAATACCTGTTTCCAAAGTCAGTCAAAAGGCTAAAAATATTACTCTAATCTTCCTCTACCTTTCTGTGTACAGATGGCTATAGATACATTAAGACCGTTATTCCAGAGAGTTCTTACTCCACAGCAGAGGAAGAAATGCTATGAGAGGTCAAGAAGAATCTGGACAGGTCTAGAATTCTCCAGTCGGTGTATTACCATTCGATCATACCCTTTTTGTTCAATCACTGTTCTATGTCCATTCTTCATTAAACCTAAGCACAAAATGGATAATTTCCCCCCGTATCTTTGGGTCTTCATTCTGAAGGCTCCTGTGTCACATAAAACTTTGATGAAAAGTTATGCTCTTCTTTTGTTAACCTATATTTTGATATAGAGTGTGGGCCATGATTCTTATGATGGGGAAAAAAAGAATCACCAAATCTCCCCTTTTCCACCCCTATTCAGCTTCAAGGGTGTGTAACTTATGTAGAGGCATAGGGCCGGTGCTTGGAAGGTCCCTGTGCTTGATTAATGTTAGCTGTCAACACCTTGAAATTTTAAACAATTTTCAAAAATGAAGCCTTGCATTTTTATTTTGCAATATGCCATAAAAATTATGTACAGGTCCTGTACTTACTGTCCTGTAAGCTGCCTATCTACAAAGATGTAAGTTTTGTGCCAGAGAAGAAAGCCAAGATGATTAAGAAATAACTCTAGTGCTGAAAAGTTTATAGTCCAGAAGTAGAAATAAGCTTAGTAGTCAAATTATAATAAAACAAAGTAGATAATAAAACATGCAGCAGAAAAAAAGCTCCAGAGGAAGGAGAAGTTACCTCTCAGTGTAATGAGGTTAGCATCGGTGGAAGAGGCAGCTTTTAATTGGATCCAAAAAGTAGCAAAGGATTGGAACATCGAAGATAATGGAAAGGGGTGTAGGGGGAGGCAGAATGGAATATGCTGCAAGGAAGCACAGGGAAGGCATGGGCTCATGGAATTGATTGGTTTGCGTGGGGTGAGAAGAATCCAGGCTGAAAAAACTGGCTAGCTTTGACTGGAGGAGGACTTTGAATGTCCAACTAGGGAGGCTGTAAATAATTCAACAGGAACTGTGAGTCATTAAAGGATTGTAGAGCAAGAACCCATTAGTCACAATAATCATTTAGGAAGATTAAAGCTGGCCCTAGGCAATGATGGTCATCATGTGACCTCTCTGGACTCCAAGCCCAGTCCTATCCTCGCAATTTGATGTGAATTTGATGTTTTACAGGGTGGCCATATGGAAGGTGACATCAGAGTCAGCACTCACCTCTTTTTTTATCCAGCCAGTTAAACGCTACCTGCTCTACACTGTCCAACAAAAAATATTCACTCACTCTAGAGGGCCAAATGTTTTGCAAGGTTTGAATAGTTAGAATAGGCAACACAAACTCTAGCAATTCTGAGCGTTTATACACACACACACATACACACACACACACACACACACATGTCTATACATACACATATATATAATAAATACACATATGCATATATGTGTGTATATATATATCCATTCAGAATCAGTTAAAAGACACATACAAACACACACAATGAGCCATCTCCATCTTATGTCACTAGAAAAGGAGTTTGCGTTAGAGACATTTGAGATAGCGTTGGCACTCAGTCCATTTCCTTGCAAAAACAAGCTTATAGATGCTAAAATCAACACGATAAGTGGCCAATACTTAGAGATGTGAGACAAATAATGAGTTTTATTCTATAGGCAAGCATTTCATTGATTATCAGTTGGAATCTTTATCAGAGCTATATCAGCAACTCTTGTACTTTAAGGCTTAAAATGAATACTTATTCTCTCTGTCTCTGTTTCTCACCACACACAATACACACACACACACACACACACACACACACACACACAATACATCTACACACACACACACACAAATATAATCTCCTTCACATATATATGGTATCTAAGTAATTTAATTTACTTGCAAACAATATTGAAATTCTAAAAAGAAATTTACATTTTAACCTCTTCTAAATGTTTCATCCAATCACACTGAGAAAAAAAATATCAACACCCTGCTGACAGAGTAATATTTTAATATATTATTACTTGACATCAAATTAGAATTGTTTTATCCCTTTAGCATGAATATAAACATATTTCATATGGAAATGAAAAATGTATAAAAGATGAAGCAAAACAAAATAAATTAACCACCAGAAATAACCAAATAAGGAATATTAAAAATTGCATCTTAAGAAAATTCAATAGATATGTTAAGATGCATCACTAAAACAAAATTTGACTTTGAATTTTTAGCTTAATTTCAACCATTTATTTACCAAAAAATGAAAATGTAAAGCAAGGAAAGTTAAATATTTTAGCTCTCAAAAATAAGATCTCAATTAGTGATATACACTAGCTCACATAATCTGTGCACAGCTATTTAAAAATGAATTCTGTTTTCAAAAGAAAAATGACATAAAAAACTACTTTAAAAAAGTAATCAGAATTGCCAATATTCTTTTCAAAAATAAAATAGCATTTTTAAATAAAATAAGCTTAGAGACAAATAAATTCATTTTAGTGAATATCAGTGTATTTCTGAGAAATGAAAAACTGACTTTTAATTCCAGTTTCTATTGTATATTGAGTTATTATGATAATATATAATATAAATGAAAAGAAAGCTTCTGATATTTAAGAACTGTAACATAAAATAAATTTAATTTGGGAAATTAAACTCAGAATTAAAGAAGAATAATAACTTTTTCTTGGAACGCTTCCATCTTAGTCCTTTGACCTTTCATATGGAAAAACACACATAATAGATGACTCCGACATAGATTGTGGGTCTGTTTAGAAAAGGTGCCATAAATATATAAACCAATACATAGTTAGAGATGAACTTAATATCCTTTTATGTTCAAGTAAATTCTCATTTGTGTCTCTGAGTTGCACTCTCTCTTAGAGAATGTCTGAATAAATATGATGAACTCTGAAGTTCTGACTTGACCGTACATCCTGAAAACTGGCACTGGAAATATAAGGAAACCTGTTCAAAGTCTTGAACTTCTACACATTTGTAGTCTCTTGAGACTGGAAAAAAGGCAAAATGTCTTTATTGTGCTGCATTTCAGATGACAGGGCTAAAAGAAAATAAACACTCTCAAAAGGAATAAAGAAAACATCCTACCTTTTTAAAAATTCCATATACTCGGTATGCTTGATGAGTCCTGTCCTCATCATTATTGTTTGAAAACATTGCCGATCAATAGCCCAGAGTTTCACATTTACAAGAGCTGGAGAAAAATGAAAAGGAAGCAAACATGGAAAAATTAATTAGAGAATTTCAACTGTGAACAACATCTTGCAAAATAAATGAGTTATTCATGAAAGTTATTAAAATGATTAACCATTTATACACATTTAAGGCTAATAGTAAAAAAAAATAAATACATACATAAATCTAACATTATAATGCTGTTCTCATTAAAAAGCCATGTATGTTTGCAGGCAAAATGTAGTTCATATTTTTCCATACCAGTATTATTGTCTACTAGGAAGATTGTTCTCTTATGCTTCTTAGGAAATGACAGTGTCAAAGCACATGTTGAAAGTATTTAGTAATTCAAGACTATATATGAAGAAAATAGCACGAAGAGAAAAAGAGGTTCACAAGTAATAGCAGACTCTAATAATTACCGAGTATGGTGTTAATGACTCATATGATTTTATTTTAATTGTAAAAAGCAGAGGTGAAAATTCAATTTTCAAGTTTAGGGGAACATTTTATAAAATAGAAATAATAATTACACAATAGTTTCTATACAAAGCTTGTTTTACAAATTATAACCTGTGTCCAAAGTTGCCAACATGGAAGTTTTATTAGACATGTCTGTTGAATTTTAATTGCTACTCTTACACACCACAGTCTTTGACAAGGTATAATTTAATGTTGAAATTGAGTACCACAGAAATTCACCATTTGATCTATTAAGCACATCATTAACAGGCAAGCTTAAGAAAAAGACATATACTGTGTAACAGAACAAAACATCAAGATAAACAGGTTTTAAAAGATAAGCACGCTAAAAATCTTGGTAATTATATTGTGTGATGGGTATATGAGAGATTTATTATTCTCTCTACCTTTATTCATGTCTTCAAATTTTTATAATATAAATATTTTAAGTTAGCATATGAACTATAGAAAGCCAACTCATGTATCATAACATGGGGTATAGGTAGAGAAAGGTTTGAGGGGGCTTGAGCAACACCACTGAATGGGGTCAATGCGTTAACAGAGCCAAACATAGAAAGACAGAAGAATGTAATACACTCTTAATTCATTCAGACTAAGCCCAGTGAAGTAGGAAAAAAAAAATATTACCATGGTGAATGTTCCTTGAGTTAAGGGCCTAGAAATAACCCACAAAGAAACAGGGGAGAAAGAAGATAAAGGGAATATTGTACTCTGGAGTAAACCCTGTCTTTGAGATTTCTGTAGGGTTGCTGCATAGTTTAGGAGTAAGTTAATGCAAGGCCCTAGAAGAAAGGTTTATGATGTCATGATTAATTTGATGAACAACAGAAAACTACTAGAGATCTTAAAAAGACAAAACAAAGCAAAGAACCAAAATTTGAAAGGTTACACCATAAGTATACAAGTTCATTTTTAAACTGCTTATGAGAAATAAATAAATATTCTGTATTCATCTTTCTTCATAGTTCTAGGCACTTCACAGTATAGATACACCTCCCACCAAAGGATAAATTAGGTTGTACCAACCAATTTTATAATTTCTAAAAATCATGGCAATAAAAATAGTTTTAATTATCATATATATTAATATAATGTATATATTTTTAAATGCACCTTAAATAAATGATTAGAATTGGAATGTCTAAGTAAAATAAAACATGTATACATTTTAAGGCTCTGCCCTGAAGAGACTTCACAAACATACTCCCAAACAGCAGTATATAAAATTTCCATTACAGGCTCTTAAATCAAGAGATATGACCACAGTGATCGCTGAGAAAGACCTATTCAGGATTAGCATAAATTGGATTAGGAGATACCTGAGTTAACAGAATATAGACCAACACACCAGTGCTGTCTGATAACAATTTATATACAAACTGTAGGGCAAAGTAGTAAGACAGTGAAAGCTCTGTGTGAGGAAAATTGTCTCAATAATGTATTGTGAGCACAGTTTCAAACAAAGACCAATAAGCTCCAAGCAGAGGCCACTGTAAGGAGTCAAGTAAGGAGGGTCATAATGAATATGGCCGCGATGAGAATAAGAGAATAGAGACTTGGTAGTTCTGTGCATGTTTGTCCATGTACACATGGGTATGTATTGTCACAGTTATCTGCAGCATTTTAAATCTGAGTTCAAATCTCAGGCCCAGGCGTTGAACTCTTGATGAACAACCTCTCTGTCCTATGAATCACTACAGCTTTTTCCACCTGCACCCCTCACAGGTGCTTAGTTTAGAGATATTGTTCTCTCTCCTATGTCTATATCATGATTCTTTTTTCCCCTTTTTTCTTTCTTTCTTCTTTTTTCTTTTGATTTTTGTAGAGACAAAGTCTTGCTATATTGCCGAGCCTGGTCTCAAACTCCTGGGGTCAGGCAATCCTCTTGCCTTGGCATCCCAAAGTACTGGGATTACAGGCATGAGCCACTGTGCATGGCCCATGTTTCCTTACATAAGCTTGTATATCTCCTCAGAGAAAAGCCTCTGTCTTATCTCTTACAATCTTCCCAAACACTAGAAATTTGAGTTTCATTTGGTTATTATTAGACATATTGGTTGATTAATGAAAATTATATACTTGAAGTTCACTTACAAACACAAAAGACTGTAAGCCTAGGTGGTCTTTAGTTACATTCAAATATCTAAGGTGAATTTATCAGATTTCATTATCTATGTGCTGAAAAATGACTTCTAAAAATAACAGGCCAGGTGTGGAGGGTCATGCCTGTAATCCCAGCATTTTGGGAGGTCAAGGAGGGAGGATTACTTGAGACCAGGAATCTGAGACCAGCCTACACAACATAGTGTGATCTTGTCTCTACTACAAAAAAAAAAAATTTGGATGGGTGTGTTAGCACACACCTGTACTCCCAGCAATTTGGGAGACTGAGGCAGGATTGCCTGAGCCCAGGAAGTCAAGGTTGCCATGAGCTGTGATCATGCCACCGCACTCCAGCCTGGGTAACAGCATGAGACTCTGACTCAAAAAATTAAAATTAAAATAAGTTCACAGAATTCAATAATTTCATTTTCCTTTTTGTTTCTTGTTTACATAGGCTATTGAAATGTCTCTAAGTAAAATTACAGTTCAAATATTTTACATGATAAAGAACATGGCTTCATGAAATTGCAAATTTGTCCGTGACCTTGGGCAAGATGCCAAAACCTTTTTTATATTAGTCTTGGCCAACATACATATTAGTCAAACCAGCATTTTACAGGTGAACAAGCATGACTAATAGCCACCTTGCCTTATTATCAAAAACACAGTTATATTAAAGTTGTGATTAACATCTTCCTTCTAAAACAGATCGCTGGAGTATAAGTCTGCTGTTTTAGTAACTTAAAGAGACAATTCAATAAACAAAATCTCTTCATTTACCTTTGATCTTAAGTGATGTGTTAATCTCTGCAGGGAATAAACCCTTCACAAATACTAATTTCTGTGATTTTTCATGATGATTACTGTTGTTGAACATTTAAGGGTATAAAGCAGAGAGTGCTGGGAAGAGATTTTCCTTTTTGTTCAACTATATATCTAAAATTTTTTGCTGAGGTACATATTATTTTCTCAGGTCTAGGTGAAAAACACATAAACTCCCATTACTCTGAAATCTCTAAGTATACAAGTACACTGAGAACATCTTCAACATAGGAAACAGCTGGCTTTCATTTAGGGGACACCAAGATTAGAGATGAAAGAGCTGTAAAATTGTGCTAGACTAACAGAGCACAAATCTGGATTTGGCTTAAATTCTCCTACTGAAGAATTTATATGCTGTTCAATTCAAATTCTAGAAGAATATTAGGAAAACATATGTAAGTATAAAGCATTTATAGACTCAAATATTTATTCAACTTGTGTTTATTTTATACCAGTATGGCAGGCACTGGTGCTAGGTAAGGAATAGAAAACAAACTCAATCACTGCCCTCAAGAAACTCATGATCTTATCCATGCCAAATCTGGTTCATGGTTTATTTCTGTACTAGCTAAGAATGGTTTTATATTTTTAAATGGTTGCAAAATTATAAAAAGGAGCATATTTCATGACACATGTGAATTGTATGAAATAAATTTTAGTGTCCATAAATAAATGTCAGTACCCATAAATAAATTTCGGTGGCCATAAAAGTCTTGCTGAAACACAACCATGCCTGTTCGTTTACATATTGTTTCTGTCTGAACTGAGTAATTGCAACAGAACCATATGGACCGCAAAGCCTAAAATATTTCCTATTGCAGCCCTTTACAGAAAATACTTGGTCTCTGGTCTCAAATAAGAGAAAAACAAATCAAGAGATAAATGCTACCATCCTAAGTTTCTGGGGATTTAAATACACAGAAAAGGCAACACGTACTTTCTGTGGGAAGGAGCTGAGAAGGGCTGATAAAAGAAGGCTTTGCAGAAGAGAATCGTGTAAGCCAGGATACTACATCCAGTGTTATGGACTGAATGTTTGTGTCCCTCCAAAATTCAAATATTAAAACCCTAATTCTCAATGTGATAATATTAGGAGGTGTGTCCTTTGAAAGATGATTAGATTCAGATGAGGTCATAGAGGTGGAACCCACATGATGAGGTTAGCATCCTTATAAAAAGAGGGGGATAGAAGAGATGAATCTCTTTCTGCATGCACACACCAAGAAAAGGCCATGTAAGGACCTAATCGGGAAGAAGGCCATTACCAATAACCCACCCATGCTAGTGTCTTTATCTTAACCTTCTAGCCTTCAGAACTTTGAGGAATCACTTTGTTTTTTAAGTCATCCAGTATGTGGTACAGATGGCTCCTGATTTACGATGATTCCACTTAACGATTTCTCAACTTTTGCAATGGTGTGAAAGCGATATGAATTCAGTAGAAACCACACTTCAATGCAGTATTCAATAAATTACATGAGCTATTCAACATTTTATGATAAAATAGGCTTTGCATTAGATGATTTTGCCCAACTATAGGCTAATGTAAGTGTTCTGTGCATGTTGAAGTAGAGTAGGCTAAGGTTTGGTAGGTTGGGTGTTTTAAATACA